CGAGATCCGAAAAATTTCCATTTCGGAGATAGCACCTATTTTTTTGAAAAATAAATATTCGTCAGGCATAATAGTCAAATAAATTGAAAATATCATGAGTTAATTTTTGTAACAACACTAGAATGTGTCGAACATGAATTAGAGATATATTTTAGCTTAGATGATACTATATCTGCGCATACATGTACATGAACTAGTACATCAACCCTCGTCGGCCGAGAAGGGGTGGGGCGGGTGCCGCCTCATAGGGCTTTTCGCGATAGCTTAAAACTCGCTTAGGGTAGACAGCTGAAACTTGGTATACCTAATCTTTTATTCAAACTGGATCTTTTGACCTCAACTGCGTTTTCAGGTCAGGTCAGGTCACTGACCTATGACGTCATAAATAAACCTCTGCGAATTCCTCAGATGTTGCAACTTTGCAACGCCCTCAGTGCCAGAGGAACTTTCACAGGAAGATGGAAGTTACAGGACGTAGTATCCTTCTGAGGTCTCACAACTTGTTTATCTCGGATTTAACGTAAATGTCACATGAGGTCAGGTCGGTCACGTGACCTCACCATTATAAGTCAATGGGGGAAATATTGAAACTGTTATTTTGGCGCCGGAAATGATCTAAAACTATCCTAAGCACATGAAATCGTGGTTTCATGATCGGACCTTACAAAGAGTGCATGAAACCACGATTTCATGTGCTTGGGACAGTTTCCGGCGTCAAAATAACAGTTTTCATATTTCCCTCCGTTGACTTATTATGGTGAGGTCACGTGACCGAACTGACCTCATGTGACATTTGGGAAAAATCTGAGATATACAATTTGTGAGACCTCTAAAGGATACTACGTCCTGTAAGTTTCATCTTCCTGTGAAAGTTCCTCTGGCACTGAGGGCGTTGCAAAGTTGCAACGCCCGGTCCTCTGAGGACCGTGCAGAGGTTCATTTATGACGTCATAGGTCAGTGACCTGACCTGACCTGAAAACGCAGTTGGCGTCAAAAGATCCAGCTTGAATAAAATATTAGGTATGCCAAGTTTCAGCTGTTTTCCCTCAGCGTGTTTTGAGCTATCGCGAAAAAACCCTATGAGGCGGCATCCGCCCCACCCCTTCTCGGCCGACGAGGGTTAATGTACTAATTCATGTACATGTATGAGCAGATATAGTATCATCTCGGCTAAAATATATCACTATTTCATGTTCGATACATTCTAGTGTTAGTATAAATATTCACGCATTATATTTTCAATTTATTTTACTTTTGTGCATGACGAATATTTACTTTTCTAAAAACTCTAAGCCTAACTCTAAGCCGAACTCTTATATCGAGATACTGTGGGCCAAAGTGTTCGTAGGAAACCACCGTGGTATTTTGTTCGCCAGCGTGTACCGTGTGCCGCGGAATTCAGCAGCCCAAGTGACGTCAGACCTAGAGGACTTAGAAGGTCAGGTGCAGCATATGGTTGCGAGTCACCCCGGCGCTACACTGGTGTTAGCCGGTGACCTGAACTGCTGCCTGCTGAAGCCTGCTGCTGACTCGCCCGGCCACCGGCTGACTCGCCTGCTGACCACGTACGGCCTGCGGATCACCAACACGGAGCACCCGACTTACCGACCAGCCAACTCACTACTTGACGTCATCGCAACCAGCCGGCCCGACAGCTGGTGACACGTGCTGGGGTGACCCGCTGCCAGTACGGCACCCCGCACGACTTCACACGGCTGGTGCTGCGCTGCGGTGGAGCGGGGCGACCGTCCCGACCGACTGTCCAGCGGAGATGCCTGCAGAAAGTCGACTCTGAGCAGTTTAATCTGCAGCTCTCCGAAGCGGACTGGAGTCCTGTGCTCTTGCGCGAGCGACCTGCCGACAAGTGGGAGGAATTTCGCGCGATATTCCTCTCGCAGCTCGACGGGGTGGCCCCGGTCACCAGAGTGCGGCTGTCGCCACCCGGCGCGCCGCCCCTGACGGCTGACACCCGCCAGCTGCTAGCCGAGCGGAGACAGGCGCTCCAGGCAGGCGGACAGCGCGACCGCTACAAGGAGCTGAACCGCCAGTGCCGCGGAGCGATACGGCGAGACCAGACTGCCCACTATCAGCGCGAACTGGACAAGGCGGGGCCGGGCAGCGTCTGGCGCGTGCTGCGGCCTATCATTGGCAGTAAGAAGGAAACTGCCGTGCCCAGTGCTACCCCTGATGCACTCAACGACTATTATGTCAGCATTGGCCCTGCCACTGCCGCCAGCGTCCCGAGACCTGCTGCACCGGTGCCCGTCCGCCTGCCACGAGTGACGACAAGTGGGTTCCGGCCACAGCCCATCGATCTTGACACGCTGTGTCTGGTCCTGTGGTCCATGAAGCCGTCTAGAGCAACCGGACTTGACGGGTTCAGTGTCGACATGTTCAGGAGATACTTCTGGGGTACTGGACAGATTCTGCTCGACATGATCAACACGAGCCTGGTGACCTGTCAGGTGCCGGCGGCGTGGAAACACGCGCTTGTCACGCCAATCCCGAAGGGGAAAGGACCTTCAGCTCCAGCCAACACCCGCCCAATCTCGATTCTGCCGGGAGTGATGAAGATTACTGAAAGAGTAGTGCAGCTCCAGCTCACTCAGTATCTGGAGACCAACAAGCTGCTCTCCAGCGCCCAGCACGGATACCGGAAGGGTCACAGCACGGAGACCGCTCTCAGCGTCATCACCGAACACGTCCTCTGCGCTATGGACTGTCGCGAGATATCTGTGCTCGTGCTACTTGACCTATCGAAGTGCTTCGATATGGTACCGCACGCCAGACTACTCGATAAGCTGGCGCTGTATGGCGTAGACACAGAGTGGTTCAGAGACTATTGACGCGGCCACACTCAGCAAGTGCAAGTGATCGGTGGTGACGGCACTCCCATGTGTTCCGCTGCTAAGCCCAACTCCATCGGGGTCTTCCAGGGCGGCTCGCTCAGCTGTGTCTTGTACACCATCTTCACGAACGAGCTCAGTTTGTTTGTGCCCGACGGGGTCCGAGTGGTACAATACGCGGACGACACACAGTTGCTTGTCAGCGGCAAGAAAAGTGAGCTGCCTGCTTTAATTGTCCGCATGGAGCAGGCCCTTGTCAGTGTGTACGACTGGTTTTGTTCAAACGGGATGAAACTAAACGCGTCCAAAACCCAGGCACTTGTGCTCGGTACACCTGCTATCCTGAGAGGTTTACCGCCAGTGGCACTAGACTTCCTAGGAACCACCATACCCGACTCTAGAGTAGTGAAGAACTTGGGTGTCATCATGGACAATTATCTGAGCTTCCAGTCGCATGTGGACCATGTAACATCAAAGTGCACGGGCATTCTTCTTGGTATGATGCATGCCAAACATGTAGTTCCGAAAAGTGCTGTCGTGACGATCGTGCGGGCTCTTGTGACATCAATCATTAGATACTGCATCTCGGTTTACGGTACATGTAATGCAACGCAGCTACATAGAGAACAGAAGCTCCTAAACTTTGGTGCCAGAGTGGTTAGCGGCCGGCTTAAGCACGACCATGTAGCGGACGTTCTCCGTGACCTGAACTGGTTACACGCGCGTGGCCTTGTCACGTATCACCGACTGTGTCTCACCCATGCTGCCATCACGACCGGTAGTCCCGAATGCATCGCTATGTGCATCGGCCCCAGTAGAGACCACGTGTATCAGACGAGAGGCTCCTCTCAGCGCACGCTACCGAGGATACACTCTGAGTCGGGTCGCAGGCGTCTCAGCTACGGTGCTGTCCAGCAGTACAACCAGCTGCCATTCGACACAAACACTCGCCACTTCAAATCCACCCTGAGACGCTACCTACTCAGAGAACTGTATGGCTGACCTGATCAAGTATCGCGGTGTATTGTATTGGCCTGAATGTATTTTACCTCGTATGTTTTCAACCTTTGACGTGTGACGATGAAAAACCATATTCGATGGATTCGTTATGAAATATATTCTGATTCTGATTCTGATTTTCAAAAAATAGGTGCTATGCTATCTCCAAAATGGAAATTTTTCAGATTTCAGGGACCACACCATCGGATTCCTCGCAAAATTTTGGTTCAGAAAACACTAAAATTGGAGATAGGTATTTTCAAAAGTTATTTACCGTCTGTTGGAGCAATGTGCCGGGGCTGCCCGGGGATGCTGTAGACCGCTCCCAAAGCCGCGGCCCCGGCTTGGGTCAGCGCACGCTGCCCCGACTCGGCTACCTCACGTTACCGGGGCCCTGGCTTTGGGTGCGGTCTACCGCAGGTGGCTCTGACTTCGGCCAAGAAAAATGCGTCAGCTGATCATTGTCATTTCTGCCACTTTCATGTAGTGAGATGGGGTCATAACTTTAGAGACGGCTGTTTCATATCAATTATTTTACATAAAATAATATTTCAAACCATAAATTAATGTTCGACAGCCAAATTAAAGAAACAATACCAATACAGGCTTACAGTTTAAAATCGACATTGTGTTGTCTACGATTAGACAGCTGATAACTCATTCCCGTACGTCGTAACTCTATAATGACCTTTGCTTATTGTCACATGTGCGCCGCATTCGCGATTGTTGCCGACGCCTGTTTGCAGGTCAGCCCACTACAGTTGTTATATATATATCGAAAAACCGATAAACTTTTAGGCGAAAAAAGCACTATTCTAGGCCCATTTTTGATTTTTTTGCGATATTTGGTAAAAACAGAAGTTTCTTATCCTAGGAAAAATAAAATGGGAAATCATTGGAAGGTTGCACACTACCTTTAATGTTATAAAATGACTTTTTGGTCGTGTTAGGAGGCAAAATATATACCGGTAGTTAGTATGATAGGATATGCCGGTCTGGAGTATCGAAATGCATGCTGTCCTTGGGTATTGTATCGTGAAGTTTAGTTCACGATGTGCGCAATTTGAAAGTTCCATGTCATTTACCCGCGTGATTTTATTTGCGATGTTTACTATGTCAAATTTGAAATCTGTGCGCATATTTATTTGGATATAATTGAAACTTTGACTTTTGTTGGAATCTTGATCAGTTCTTTGTTTGTTTTATTTATTTCATTGAAGAGCAAATTGCATCTATAGACTTTCGGCGCACTGTAGTAAGTACGATCTTCAAATGTATGTGAAATTTATTGTATAGGGAAGAGAGGTCATATTGCGCCATGTTCTTAAATGCGCCACACCTTCCTCCTGTCCAAAATTCGATTCGAATGAATGCTCGAACGTGTGCATTTACTTCACCACCAATAACTCGCTCTTATTCCGGTCCACGGGGGCAGGTGAGGTGTCTCAGCTTTCTCGCAGACCATTTTTTTTTGTGATTTCCTCTATTTTCTTACGCGAAACAGTCTATTTCGACCTTTGCTAGTGTCATGGTTTATCTTAGAGATAGTGATTCAACTTAAAATCATTGTTAATTGCTCGTTTAATGGTAGTTTTGAAAGTTTATCACCACCGTGGCTTCGCTGTCCTCGCCATATTTGAAGCTCATGAAAAATGTGTTCCATTCGTAATTGCGCCCATCCTATTTGCGCCCTATTTTTCAACCCAGAGAAACAGCATCTGGTGGTTGGGACACATTTCATTGAACACTTTGATTATTAGAGCGCTCACCTTACCATTACCTTAGCCTTCACAGCATAAATGGTTAATGGGCTGACACGTTCAAATAGGCTACTTAGTTAGGTGGCAAACCGTTGTTTTTAATAGGGCGCTTTTACATGAGAGGCATGGGCGCTTTTTGATGGGGTAGTCCGTAAATGCGCCATTTGCAGGTGTGTCGGAAAACTTTTCTCTTGTTAATTTTTATGGGTGTGATACAAATTAGGAGTTGTAATTTGATGCCAAAATAACTGAGGTACAATTTGAGATATCATCAAGCATGACAGCTGGTCAACTTTAGCCGCAATAGGCCGATATCCTTAAAGGGACAGTATCATCGAAAAAAAAATCAATGTATGGAGCTGATTTTTTTTTTACTAGCATTTCTTGTTTTTCTGAATCAGAAAAACATAGTTTGAGGACCGAACTCGGTGAAAAATATTGCAACCACATTTCATTTTCATGATTCATTTTCATGAGCGAACCACCACTATACAAGCATGGCCGCCAGTTTGGAAGCATGCAAAATTACTACAGAACTGGCGCAGATAATACATTATTGACGCTACGCTTACGCGGTCGTTCTTCTGATTGAGTTGTCCTTACGGAGAGGTAGCCTTAGGTATTTGTAGCGTGTCGCACTCACTTGTATTTGCTTCCCGATCAAGATAACACTTCAGTACAGGTGCCGCACTCTCTGCGCTCGGCTCCGATCACACACTGCCCTGCGACCGGTCAGCGACCTCCGCCGGCAGGCAGATAGGCCCGCCCTCTACGATCGAACACCGAAAGTTGCAGTTCTTACTCTTAACACTAGTTGAACGCCTACATATTGCCTATAAAAATATCACGTGACAATTGGAGGGAGTGACAATTGGACGTGACAATTGACAATGGGAGAAAATATCACGTGACAATCACGTGATAAACGTCATACATTGGAGGGAGATTGTGATTCAAGCTGGAGGAATTCCTTTGTTGAGCCGCTAGAATCCGAAGGAAACAGCGGAAATTGCCTACGACTATTTAATGAATTTAACGGTGATGAATAAGTGCGAAAAACGTTTTGGCTTTATAAAATTTGATGAAATGACCAGGGTAAAAGTTTTATTACTGGCGGTCAATTCAAAACGGCGCAAACATTTAAAAAGTGAAGATAGTGAAGCACGATTCAGCACGATTCAAAGTGTGGTACACCTTTCGTACTTTGAGCGGCGATAGCGGGATAACGGTGTGGAGCTTCGAGGATCGGTCTTCAGTTCCCGGACCAGAAAGGTGGGGCCTATGCAATGTCAAATTTCATCAAAATGGTGATACTGTCCCTTTAAGGTGGCGCAATATGACCTCTCTCCCCTACCTCTTAGTAATCTAAACTGTACGACCTGTGAAGCTGGACATGCATTGATTGTTATTTCTGTTTCAGGATGAAATTTTATTACAAATTATATGTCTCAGTGCGAAGTCTTGTTTTGTTGAATTAGCACTACATTTCATCTACAAGCATAACGTAATTTGATGCACCTTTGCTGTTTTTGTAAGAACTAAGAATCAAATGGACACAAGAACTAAGAAAATGAACCTGGAAGAGGAAGAAAATTACGAATCGATCAAACGACAACGAGCGAACGCAAAGCGTAAGTTTACACGAAAATGTAACGCGTTTCAGGAACTAAGTCACAATAAGGAACATATTTTGGTGATAAAGGAGAAATTTGAAGATATTCGAGAGATATATAAAGAAATTGATAAGTGTAATGATCGACTATTGCATGTTATAAATAGAACTGCTTCGCACGGTACAATGAACAATCTTCTGGATGAGGCCGACGCATATATGACAGAAATTGACTCTGTGTTAGATCAAATGAGAAGCATATATGCCGAGCAATTACCAGAAAACGGGAGTCATCGATCTTCGGAAATCCAAGTAAAACCCCCAGACTCCCCACGATTCTCAGGCAACCTTCGCGAATACTCTAGCTTTCGTCATGACTTTCTTCGTTTAATGGCCAGTAAATATGGCAAGGATGCCTACGCATTACGTTCCTGCCTATTTGGTTCTGCTCTGGACACGGTTAAAGGAGTTGAGGACAATTTTGACAAGATGCTTTACCGTTTGGACAAGGCCTTCGGAGACCCCAGAAAATTTGTTGACACTGTTGTACAAGACCTTAAAATATTGAAACCCATCGCAGAGGGAGATACCAAACAGTTTATATCCATGGTGAATGTCATTGAACGGTCCTGGTTAGATCTAAAGAGGATGGGATTATCAAATGAAATGAACACGGTGACAATCGTAAGCATGATAGAAAGATTACTACCTCCTACACAAAAACGAGAATGGATTTTGAAAACAGATTCAAAGGATTTTACTTCCAAGGAAACAATATTTGAAAATCTTTTGCAATATCTTCTCCAAGAAAAACGCGTCATTGAGTAGGGTAAGGTGCCTAATTAGCGACCCTTTCCGATTTGCGACCTAACCCCTTACAGAAAAACTGGCAGGAGAAAACGGGGTAAAAACATCGTCAAAAGGTCAGCCATACTTTGGTTATCAAATTAAATTATTTTACGGTTGTCGATGTTTCTGGTAGGACGTTTCAGGTGAGTTTAAATAAAAATGACGAGTTTCTTTTCCAAAACGTGTGTGTTTGGGCCCTCTCTGATGAAAAGCGATGCACATTAGAATGATGCACCTTTTTATTCTGAATCGACATTCCTTTTTCAATTGATTGCCGTTTTCCCATAGTGAATCGCTTAACTGTGCACAGCATGGCGGTTAAAAATGTGTCGCAACTCATATTTCCTAATTGCGCCTGACATGGTCGCAAATAGCTCAAGAAGAGAAAGAAAGGGGAAAAGTGAGAAATGAAAATGAGGTGTTGCTGAAGCTTGCAATGTGAGGCAGGGGATGTCAAATGTTGTCACCGACTGAAGGGGTGCCGAATTCAGCGCGGACCTCGAATATCATACGAGATAGCCCGCAAAATTTGGGTTTCCGCCTTCTTTTCGCCTTCGGTGCATCACGTGATCAGTTTTTACTTACGTAAATGTGCTGGATAAACGTTCCTGTTCGAGTGATTGAGTGCTTTGCGTATAGGTTACCTTTTTGAGATCATATTTCATCTTTTCAGGCGTCGCATTTTTTGTCATTTTTAATATGGGGAAATCCATAGACTTATTAGCGACCCTCCCCGGTCGCTAATCGGGAAGAGTTCCCTATTAGCGTTTTTTGCAATGGTTTGCCAAAATGCTCACTACAAATAAGTTAGTGAATATTGGGGCAGAAAATGACTATATTTTAATAGAAAAATGAACGATCTCCCCGAAAATCAAGCCAGTAATACAGTGGCACCCACAGAGCGTGAGCAATGACGGTTCAAATTAAGGGGGTCGCTAATTAGGCACCTTACCCTACATGGAGCACGACGTGCGCATTTCTGGCAAACATCGCTACGTGAATCAAACCGTGGGTAACTCCTCTAACAATACTGAATTCACCAAGGGATTATGTCTAGAAGAAGCGAATTGTACACCTGAACGTCGAATATGGGACGAAATCGAGCGAGTGTCCAACCGTTTGGAACATCTTGCTCAAGTCGCTAATATTTCAAAGAATTTTCCTACTCAAAATGAAACCCGCTTGGAACCAAACCAATGGTGTTGGGTACATAAAACCTCTGGACACGCCATCGCTTCATGTGATCATTTTGCAAAGATGGCACATGACGAAAAATTATCGGCCATGCGAAAAGTAGGAGCATGTTTCAACTGCCTACAAACCGGACACATAGCTAAAGATTGCACAGAAAATCCTAGATGCACAGCAATCTCGTCGGGAAAGGTGTGCGGAAAACGGCATCACCCCCTTGTACATCGACAGAGCAACACAGAAAACAAGCGGATCGCAATCCACAACGCTCAAATGAATGATAATCCGGCACTTCTGGCCATAAGTACTATTCTCTGAGGACCGTGCAGAGGTTCATTTATGACGTCATAGGTCAGTGACCTGACCTGACCTGAAAACGCAGTTGGCGTCAAAAGATCCAGCTTGAATAAAATATTAGGTATGCCAAGTTTCAGCTGTTTTCCCTCAGCGTGTTTTGAGCTATCGCGAAAAAACCCTATGAGGCGGCATCCGCCCCACCCCTTCTCGGCCGACGAGGGTTAATGTACTAATTCATGTACATGTATGAGCAGATATAGTATCATCTCGGCTAAAATATATCACTATTTCATGTTCGATACATTCTAGTGTTAGTATAAATATTCACGCATTATATTTTCAATTTATTTTACTTTTGTGCATGACGAATATTTACTTTTCTAAAAACTCTAAGCCTAACTCTAAGCCGAACTCTTATATCGAGATACTGTGGGCCAAAGTGTTCGTAGGAAACCACCGTGGTATTTTGTTCGCCAGCGTGTACCGTGTGCCGCGGAATTCAGCAGCCCAAGTGACGTCAGACCTAGAGGACTTAGAAGGTCAGGTGCAGCATATGGTTGCGAGTCACCCCGGCGCTACACTGGTGTTAGCCGGTGACCTGAACTGCTGCCTGCTGAAGCCTGCTGCTGACTCGCCCGGCCACCGGCTGACTCGCCTGCTGACCACGTACGGCCTGCGGATCGCCAACACGGAGCACCCGACTTACCGACCAGCCAACTCACTACTTGACGTCATCGCAACCAGCCGGCCCGACAGCTGGTGACACGTGCTGGGGTGACCCGCTGCCAGTACGGCACCCCGCACGACTTCACACGGCTGGTGCTGCGCTGCGGTGGAGCGGGGCGACCGTCCCGACCGACTGTCCAGCGGAGATGCCTGCAGAAAGTCGACTCTGAGCAGTTTAATCTGCAGCTCTCCGAAGCGGACTGGAGTCCTGTGCTCTTGCGCGAGCGACCTGCCGACAAGTGGGAGGAATTTCGCGCGATATTCCTCTCGCAGCTCGACGGGGTGGCCCCGGTCACCCGAGTGCGGCTGTCGCCACCCGGCGCGCCGCCCCTGACGGCTGACACCCGCCAGCTGCTAGCCGAGCGGAGACAGGCGTTCCAGGCAGGCGGACAGCGCGACCGCTACAAGGAGCTGAACCGCCAGTGCCGCGGAGCGATACGGCGAGACCAGACTGCCCACTATCAGCGCGAACTGGACAAGGCGGGGCCGGGCAGCGTCTGGCGCGTGCTGCGGCCTATCATTGGCAGTAAGAAGGAAACTGCCGTGCCCAGTGCTACCCCTGATGCACTCAACGACTATTATGTCAGCATTGGCCCTGCCACTGCCGCCAGCGTCCCGAGACCTGCTGCACCGGTGCCCGTCCGCCTGCCACGAGTGACGACAAGTGGGTTCCGGCCACAGCCCATCGATCTTGACACGCTGTGTCTGGTCCTGTGGTCCATGAAGCCGTCTAGAGCAACCGGACTTGACGGGTTCAGTGTCGACATGTTCAGGAGATACTTCTGGGGTACTGGACAGATTCTGCTCGACATGATCAACACGAGCCTGGTGACCTGTCAGGTGCCGGCGGCGTGGAAACACGCGCTTGTCACGCCAATCCCGAAGGGGAAAGGACCTTCAGCTCCAGCCAACACCCGCCCAATCTCGATTCTGCCGGGAGTGATGAAGATTACTGAAAGAGTAGTGCAGCTCCAGCTCACTCAGTATCTGGAGACCAACAAGCTGCTCTCCAGCGCCCAGCACGGATACCGGAAGGGTCACAGCACGGAGACCGCTCTCAGCGTCATCACCGAACACGTCCTCTGCGCTATGGACTGTCGCGAGATATCTGTGCTCGTGCTACTTGACCTATCGAAGTGCTTCGATATGGTACCGCACGCCAGACTACTCGATAAGCTGGCGCTGTATGGCGTAGACACAGAGTGATTCAGAGACTATTGACGCGGCCACACTCAGCAAGTGCAAGTGATCGGTGGTGACGGCACTCCCATGTGTTCCGCTGCTAAGCCCAACTCCATCGGGGTCTTCCAGGGCGGCTCGCTCAGCTGTGTCTTGTACACCATCTTCACGAACGAGCTCAGTTTGTTTGTGCCCGACGGGGTCCGAGTGGTACAATACGCGGACGACACACAGTTGCTTGTCAGCGGCAAGAAAAGTGAGCTGCCTGCTTTAATTGTCCGCATGGAGCAGGCCCTTGTCAGTGTGTACGACTGGTTTTGTTCAAACGGGATGAAACTAAACGCGTCCAAAACCCAGGCACTTGTGCTCGGTACACCTGCTATCCTGAGAGGTTTACCGCCAGTGGCACTAGACTTCCTAGGAACCACCATACCCGACTCTAGAGTAGTGAAGAACTTGGGTGTCATCATGGACAATTATCTGAGCTTCCAGTCGCATGTGGACCATGTAACATCAAAGTGCACGGGCATTCTTCTTGGTATGATGCATGCCAAACATGTAGTTCCGAAAAGTGCTGTCGTGACGATCGTGCGGGCTCTTGTGACATCAATCATTAGATACTGCATCTCGGTTTACGGTACATGTAATGCAACGCAGCTACATAGAGAACAGAAGCTCCTAAACTTTGGTGCCAGAGTGGTTAGCGGCCGGCTTAAGCACGACCATGTAGCGGACGTTCTCCGTGACCTGAACTGGTTACACGCGCGTGGCCTTGTCACGTATCACCGACTGTGTCTCACCCATGCTGCCATCACGACCGGTAGTCCCGAATGCATCGCTATGTGCATCGGCCCCAGTAGAGACCACGTGTATCAGACGAGAGGCTCCTCTCAGCGCACGCTACCGAGGATACACTCTGAGTCGGGTCGCAGGCGTCTCAGCTACGGTGCTGTCCAGCAGTACAACCAGCTGCCATTCGACACAAACACTCGCCACTTCAAATCCACCCTGAGACGCTACCTACTCAGAGAACTGTATGGCTGACCTGATCAAGTATCGCGGTGTATTGTATTGGCCTGAATGTATTTTACCTCGTATGTTTTCAACCTTTGACGTGTGACGATGAAAAACCATATTCGATGGATTCGTTATGAAATATATTCTGATTCTGATTCTGATTTTCAAAAAATAGGTGCTATGCTATCTCCAAAATGGAAATTTTTCAGATTTCAGGGACCACACCATCGGATTCCTCGCAAAATTTTGGTTCAGAAAACACTAAAATTGGAGATAGGTATTTTCAAAAGTTATTTACCGTCTGTTGGAGCAATGTGCCGGGGCTGCCCGGGGATGCTGTAGACCGCTCCCAAAGCCGCGGCCCCGGCTTGGGTCAGCGCACGCTGCCCCGACTCGGCTACCTCACGTTACCGGGGCCCTGGCTTTGGGTGCGGTCTACCGCAGGTGGCTCTGACTTCGGCCAAGAAAAATGCGTCAGCTGATCATTGTCATTTCTGCCACTTTCATGTAGTGAGATGGGGTCATAACTTTAGAGACGGCTGTTTCATATCAATTATTTTACATAAAATAATATTTCAAACCATAAATTAATGTTCGACAGCCAAATTAAAGAAACAATACCAATACAGGCTTACAGTTTAAAATCGACATTGTGTTGTCTACGATTAGACAGCTGATAACTCATTCCCGTACGTCGTAACTCTATAATGACCTTTGCTTATTGTCACATGTGCGCCGCATTCGCGATTGTTGCCGACGCCTGTTTGCAGGTCAGCCCACTACAGTTGTTATATATATCGAAAAACCGATAAACTTTTAGGCGAAAAAAGCACTATTCTAGGCCCATTTTTGATTTTTTTGCGATATTTGGTAAAAACAGAAGTTTCTTATCCTAGGAAAAATAAAATGGGAAATCATTGGAAGGTGGCACACTACCTTTAATGTTATAAAATGACTTTTTGGTCGTGTTAGGAGGCAAAATATATACCGGTAGTTAGTATGATAGGATATGCCGGTCTGGAGTATCGAAATGCATGCTGTCCTTGGGTATTGTATCGTGAAGTTTAGTTCACGATGTGCGCAATTTGAAAGTTCCATGTCATTTACCCGCGTGATTTTATTTGCGATGTTTACTATGTCAAATTTGAAATCTGTGCGCATATTTATTTGGATATAATTGAAACTTTGACTTTTGTTGGAATCTTGATCAGTTCTTTGTTTGTTTTATTTATTTCATTGAAGAGCAAATTGCATCTATAGACTTTCGGCGCACTGTAGTAAGTACGATCTTCAAATGTATGTGAAATTTATTGTATAGGGAAGAGAGGTCATATTGCGCCATGTTCTTAAATGCGCCACACCTTCCTCCTGTCCAAAATTCGATTCGAATGAATGCTCGAACGTGTGCATTTACTTCACCACCAATAACTCGCTCTTATTCCGGTCCACGGGGGCAGGTGAGGTGTCTCAGCTTTCTCGCAGACCATTTTTTTTGTGATTTCCTCTATTTTCTTACGCGAAACAGTCTATTTCGACCTTTGCTAGTGTCATGGTTTATCTTAGAGATAGTGATTCAACTTAAAATCATTGTTAATTGCTCGTTTAATGGTAGTTTTGAAAGTTTATCACCACCGTGGCTTCGCTGTCCTCGCCATATTTGAAGCTCATGAAAAATGTGTTCCATTCGTAATTGCGCCCATCCTATTTGCGCCCTATTTTTCAACCCAGAGAAACAGCATCTGGTGGTTGGGACACATTTCATTGAACACTTTGATTATTAGAGCGCTCACCTTACCATTACCTTAGCCTTCACAGCATAAATGGTTAATGGGCTGACACGTTCAAATAGGCTACTTAGTTAGGTGGCAAACCGTTGTTTTTAATAGGGCGCTTTTACATGAGAGGCATGGGCGCTTTTTGATGGGGTAGTCCGTAAATGCGCCATTTGCAGGTGTGTCGGAAAACTTTTCTCTTGTTAATTTTTATGGGTGTGATACAAATTAGGAGTTGTAATTTGATGCCAAAATAACTGAGGTACAATTTGAGATATCATCAAGCATGACAGCTGGTCAACTTTAGCCGCAATAGGCCGATATCCTTAAGGTGGCGCAATATGACCTCTCTCCCCTACCTCTTAGTAATCTAAACTGTACGACCTGTGAAGCTGGACATGCATTGATTGTTATTTCTGTTTCAGGATGAAATTTTATTACAAATTATATGTCTCAGTGCGAAGTCTTGTTTTGTTGAATTAGCACTACATTTCATCTACAAGCATAACGTAATTTGATGCACCTTTGCTGTTTTTGTAAGAACTAAGAATCAAATGGACACAAGAACTAAGAAAATGAACCTGGAAGAGGAAGAAAATTACGAATCGATCAAACGACAACGAGCGAACGCAAAGCGTAAGTTTACACGAAAATGTAACGCGTTTCAGGAACTAAGTCACAATAAGGAACATATTTTGGTGATAAAGGAGAAATTTGAAGATATTCGAGAGATATATAAAGAAATTGATAAGTGTAATGATCGACTATTGCATGTTATAAATAGAACTGCTTCGCACGGTACAATGAACAATCTTCTGGATGAGGCCGACGCATATATGACAGAAATTGACTCTGTGTTAGATCAAATGAGAAGCATATATGCCGAGCAATTACCAGAAAACGGGAGTCATCGATCTTCGGAAATCCAAGTAAAACCCCCAGACTCCCCACGATTCTCAGGCAACCTTCGCGAATACTCTAGCTTTCGTCATGACTTTCTTCGTTTAACCCGCGCCCCAGTGGCGGTCTCGGCCAACTTCGCCCTAGTGGGGGGGGGGGGGGCATATGTTACCACCCACCTCTAACTCAAAAACTAAGAGGGATAGAAAGACGCGGTAAAAAGCAGTCGATAGCTCTCAATGCGTACGTTTGAAAGTATTTCGGTCATTTTTCACCTTTGAGCAATATTGGGGTCACCAGAGGTCATCAAAGGTCAAAATTTGCCAATTGTCATTATATTTTTCAGAAAACATGCCCCTATCTCAGGAACTATGGTAGCTAGAAAAACGCATGGAACAGCAAACGATAGCTTTTTAGCTCTTCTTTTGAAAAGGTCATTATCAATATTGACCTCAGGTCAACGGTTTAGCCTCCAGAGGACAAAAACTCCAAAAATAGCTGTTTTTACGAAAAGTGTTTTTCGACAATAACTTTTGACTACAAAAAGCCACGGCATTTCTATTGCCAGAATCGTGTTCCCCTCGCCGAGACGCGTCGAATGAACTATAATTTGACCTTGAAAGGTCAACTTGAAAATTTGACCTCAGGTCAAGGTCATGACCTGACCGGAAAAGGTCATGTTGCATATCAGTCGATGCGTCTCAACAAGACAAACACAATGAGACCATCCCCAGCGTTCTATCTCTTTCCAATCGCGAGTTATTGGCAAAAAACTGTTTGTAGCCTCAAGTGACCTCAGATGACCTGTCTAGAGGCTATCAGCAAAAATGACACCTTGGTCATCACGAGTGGACTAAATCATTGTGATTCTGAAATATTTGGACTGTTCCCATGCGTACACACGGATCTAAAGGCATTTTCATTTTTCTCCATTGCCTTATAATGGTAAGGTCACGCCACTGACCTGACCTTAGGTCACGGATATGAAAAATCCGAGATATACAAATTGTAGGCGCCCATAACATCATGCAATCCACCAAGTTTGAAACCTTTCTGACAAACACTGCAGGCTGGACATGATTGCAAACTTTTTTTTAGGCTTGGTCAGTTAACTTGACCTGGTGACCTGACCTGACATGACCTGGGGTCAAAAATTTCACACATTGTCCAAAATTGATGTACAAAAAGCTACCCCAAGCGGCGCGGCGCTACGCGCCGCGCTTTTTTATTTACACGCGAAAAACGCGACAGGGTGGTAACATATGCCCCCCCCACTGGGGCGAAGGTTAATGGCCAGTAAATATGGCAAGGATGCCTACGCATTACGTTCCTGCCTATTTGGTTCTGCTCTGGACACGGTTAAAGGAGTTGAGGACAATTTTGACAAGATGCTTTACCGTTTGGACAAGGCCTTCGGAGACCCCAGAAAATTTGTTGACACTGTTGTACAAGACCTTAAAATATTGAAACCCATCGCAGAAGGAGATACCAAACAGTTTATATCCATGGTGAATGTCATTGAACGGTCCTGGTTAGATCTAAAGAGGATGGGATTATCAAATGAAATGAACACGGTGACAATCGTAAGCATGATAGAAAGATTACTACCTCCTACACAAAAACGAGAATGGATTTTGAAAACAGATTCAAAGGATTTTACTTCCAAGGAAACAATATTTGAAAATCTTTTGCAATATCTTCTCCAAGAAAAACGCGTCATTGAGTAGGGTAAGGTGCCTAATTAGCGACCCTTTCCGATTTGCGACCTAACCCCTTACAGAAAAACTGGCAGGAGAAAACGGGGTAAAAACATCGTCAAAAGGTCAGCCATACTTTGGTTATCAAATTAAATTATTTTACGGTTGTCGATGTTTCTGGTAGGACGTTTCAGGTGAGTTTAAATAAAAATGACGAGTTTCTTTTCCAAAACGTGTGTGTTTGGGCCCTCTCTGATGAAAAGCGATGCACATTAGAATGATGCACCTTTTTTATTCTGAATCGACATTCCTTTTTCAATTGATTGCCGTTTTCCCATAGTGAATCGCTTAACTGTGCACAGCATGGCGGTTAAAAATGTGTCGCAACTCATATTTCCTAATTGCGCCTGACATGGTCGCAAATAGCTCAAGAAGAGAAAGAAAGGGGAAAAGTGAGAAATGAAAATGAGGTGTTGCTGAAGCTTGCAATGTGAGGCAGGGGATGTCAAATGTTGTCACCGACTGAAGGGGTGCCGAATTCAGCGCGGACCTCGAATATCATACGAGATAGCCCGCAAAATTTGGGTTTCCGCCTTCTTTTCGCCTTCGGTGCATCACGTGATCAGTTTTTACTTACGTAAATGTGCTGGATAAACGTTCCTGTTCGAGTGATTGAGTGCTTTGCGTATAGGTTACCTTTTTGAGATCATATTTCATCTTTTCAGGCGTCGCATTTTTTGTCATTTTTAATATGGGGAAATCCATAGACTTATTAGCGACCCTCCCCGGTCGCTAATCGGGAAGAGTTCCCTATTAGCGTTTTTTTGCAATGGTTTGCCAAAATGCTCACTACAAATAAGTTAGTGAATATTGGGGCAGAAAATGACTATATTTTAATAGAAAAATGAACGATCTCCCCGAAAATCAAGCCAGTAATACAGTGGCACCCACAGAGCGTGAGCAATGACGGTTCAAATTAAGGGGGTCGCTAATTAGGCACCTTACCCTACATGGAGCACGACGTGCGCATTTCTGGCAAACATCGCTACGTGAATCAAACCGTGGGTAACTCCTCTAACAATACTGAATTCACCAAGGGATTATGTCTAGAAGAAGCGAATTGTACACCTGAACGTCGAATATGGGACGAAATCGAGCGAGTGTCCAACCGTTTGGAACATCTTGCTCAAGTCGCTAATATTTCAAAGAATTTTCCTACTCAAAATGAAACCCGCTTGGAACCAAACCAATGGTGTTGGGTACATAAAACCTCTGGACACGCCATCGCTTCATGTGATCATTTTGCAAAGATGGCACATGACGAAAAATTATCGGCCATGCGAAAAGTAGGAGCATGTTTCAACTGCCTACAAACCGGACATATAGCTAAAGATTGCACAGAAAATCCTAGATGCACAGCAATCTCGTCGGGAAAGGTGTGCGGAAAACGGCATCACCCCCTTGTACATCGACAGAGCAACACAGAAAACAAGCGGATCGCAATCCACAACGCTCAAATGAATGATAATCCTGCACTTCTGGCCATAAGTACTATTCTCTGTAACGATCAACTGGTTACAGTGCTGTGGGACTCCGGATAATATTTCGCTAATTACACATTCTGCAGCAAAACGGTTAAATCTACTTGGAAGTAACACGGACTTATCCATCGTTAAAGTAGGAAATCAACCTGCCATACTCAGTAGCAAAAAGTACACTGTTCCTCTAATCGACTTGGACAAAAATGTCTGGAATATTGACGTATACGGAATGGACGAAATTACGACTGACCTGCAAAACATTGATGAAAAATACATTACCAAGTATTCTCCCGAAATTAATATCATTGACTATCGAAGACCAACGGGAAAAGTTGACATCCTTATTGGTGTTGACTGTTGCGCTATAATGCCAAATGTCGTAAGAACGGTTGATAACGCGCAACTTCTAAGAAATCAGTTTGGATATTGTATAAGGGGCACTTTCCCAGGAGCGAACGAAAGATCCGAACAAGATACGCGCACAGAAATACGCGCGAATACATTGCTCATACGCACAGACGACATCCAAACGAGTTCCCCGACCGAGAACGCTATCGAGAAGTTCTTCAAGTGTGAAAATTTAGGCATCAGTTGTCACCCACAATGCGGAGGATGTCGGTGTGGAAATTGTTCCATGGGCATGAAAGGATATACTTTGAAGGAAGAAAGGGAATTAGCTTTGATTAAGGCCGGTCTTAAATATAACGAAGAAGAACAAATATTCGAAATTGCCTATCCGATCCGTGGATAAAAGGACCAGAAAATCTTCCCAACAACATAAGAGCAGCGAAAGCGAAACTACGATCGACCGAATCACGACTCAATAAACTGGATACCGAACGACAGCGAGCATACAGAGAGCAAATGAAGGATATGGAGCGTAGAAAGGTGGCAAGGAAATTATCACAAGAGGAGGTCCACTGTTACACAGGGCCTGTCCATTATCTTCATCATCATGAAATAATAAAAGGCGACTCGTCAACAACTCCAGTTAGAATCGTGTTCAATTCTTCAGCATCATATATGGGGCATGCGTTAAACGATTATTGGGCAAAAGGACCCGATTTTGTCAACAGCCTCTATGGTATCCTGATCAGATTTAGAGAATACCCACTGGCGATAGCTACGGACATTTCAAAGATGTATAACTCGATTCGACTGTCATCAAGAGATCAGCACGTTCATCGTTATCTCTGGCGTGATCTGCAAACTGACCAAGAACCCCACCATTACGCTCTTACCGCCGTGCCTTTTGGAGACCGTCCTAGTGGCACGATCGCTATGGTGGCAATTCACACAATAGCCGACATGAACATGAAGCAATATCCAGAAGCAGCGAGAATGATCAAAGAAAATAGTTATGTCGATGACTTACTACAATCGGTCACAAATAGCAGCGATGCATTGGCTTTAGCCTCCGACGTCCAAAACATCCTTGCTAAGGGAAACTTCAACATAAAGCATTGGGTTTTCTCGGGCGACAAAGAAGAAAACGCAAGCCAAAATGTATTGATCATGAAAACAAAACGTGTGAAAATCCTAGGAATGTTTTGGGAAACGCAAGATGATAACTTCGTATTCGAAATGAGGCTAAACTTTTCCCAGAAACGAGACAAAATGGACTTTGCACAAAACGTGATGAAAAGTGATTCGGAACTGAAAATCCCTGAAACTTTGACAAGAAAGCTTTTACTCA